TCAAACCTTCAAGGGGGGTTCCGTGGAACCCTTCGAACCCCCCCTTGATCCACCACTGTCTATGTATGAAATTAGGGGGCAATCAAAGCCAGTGGTGCAACCCACCCTTTCAAACGACAAAATCTTCATTGTCAAAATGAATTGGGGGGGGGATGTGATGAAAATAAAAAAACTCTGCATACCATCCAGATGGGTTTTATTCAATTCCCATATTTCAACAAAGGCAAAATGTATGGTCAAGCTTTAAAGGTCTATGTACATGATAAGCTTCAATTACATCTAGTGATTAGTTTAAAAATATTACAAACTATCATAACCACGAATATTGATGGTGTGGGAACCCTGTGGAAGTGAAGAAACAGAACCACAGGGATCCCAACTTTAAAGAAAGGGATGATTGGGCATTTTTTGAGACATGGATGCTGAATGTCCTATATATGCCAGTTATAATAAACAGTCATTGCCAAAATCTGTGAAAGATAATTGGCTATGTTCTCTTGGTCAGATAAATAAAGTTATCTGTTCCTGCGGCAAAAATTGGATTACTTGAAAACTTGTCATGGTCCACTGTGTAGACTGCGCGAGGGAGGTCAACTAATCTACCCATGGTCTGAAATACAAGATAGAAGTTATTTATCAAAGGGATATTTCCTAAATATACTAATATCTTCCTTCTCAGCTATAATTATACTCTACAGGTMACAGTGTTTTTATATCACTACCACCACCATCATCATCAGTATCAACATTATCATCATCTCCATCATGACTGCCATATTCGTGATCAGCATCCTCGTGTCATCATCATCATCATGATTAATAWCACAATCATAATTACCAGTGTACTAAGACTTACATGTAGAGTTGATTGGTCCAGATATCTCATGACATTTTTGTCACTTCCACCTGTTAGCACACCCTCTGTTCCCTGCCACTGCACACAGTACAGCTACRATACAAAACATATTTCAAAAATCAGTCATTTTTTCAATCCTGAGTCTTCGCTTTCTCAAAAAGAATAATAAATTTTGTATCCGAATAATGAAATTACTAATGGAACCTAAGTGGGGAAAAACTTGAGCCGTTTTGACAGTAACCTGACCTACCATTGATGACAAATAGTCCCCTGGTATATCTTTGACAAGTTTTCCTGAGTTAAAATCCCAAATTTGTAAGGTGTTGTTCTTTCTCCATGAGCCAGTGAGGATTTGTAGGCTACCTGGTAAGATGTCCACTGCATYGCCACACACATGTGGCCCAAATATTTTTCTGTTATGTTAGAAAAAGTTTAATATGTACATTAACAACACAAGCTTTATTGACAGGACAAATTTTTTATGATGGACAATATTTCTAAAAAGAATATCCACAAAAATAACTCGACTTTTGAATATATAGAGGTAATCAGTTAACTAAGCATCTGATACAGCTGTGTATCTTTACGAGTCAAGTATTTTGGCAAGCCTTTAAAAGCAAGCCAAAATACAAGTGACGAGTAAAAATGCATGACAATGCTTTAAAGCTAGCTTACTCTGACGGTGTTCATTCATACCTTAATGAATGCTTTCTATCAACCCTTGTATCCCAGAACTGAAATCCAAAGTAACATAAAGTAAATGAGATAAAATGAAGTAACTGAGAAAAACKTCACCGATCTCATTGTTTATTATGCAGCACTTTTATCCTTCATAAGTAATTAGCTTAACTCTTTCCTATCCCACAAACTTCTAAAAATGTTTACAAATATAGCTTCAGAGATTCCTATTTTCCTCAAGATAAAATGCATTTTTTCTTTCTTGAACTACATGATCTTCATGCCATTATTATGATCAAGTAACGATACCTTGTCCAGGTTTTTAGACATAACAATGAACTCACTATCCAATGTCTATATGTTTAACGACAATCCGTGGTAATAATGCTGTACCTGTACAGTATCATCCCAGCCAGCAGAAACAAAGATGTGATCATCTTCAGGTATATACTTGACGGYAAACACTCGGCTCATGTGACCATCCATTACAAGATGAGAAGAACTAAAAAAAATTGCAATAAATATTAAAACATTAATATGGTCACATATCAGAGTGCTAGTATTATTTTATATGATACCMATTAATTAAGGTATAAACAACAGTTACTACAGTAACCCTTCATAACTGCAATGAACCAGGAACCCAAGAACAAAATAAATCAAGGACGGCCTAGTTATAGTTCACTTGCCTCTCACCTCTGAGGTCTCAAGTTTGATTCTAGAACTGAGCACCACTGCAAGCAAATTGTTAGGTCTTTCCCTTGTGTCAAGTGTCTTTTCTCTGAGTTTACAAGTTTTCTTTGCTCTGCAAAACCTACCAAGCTAAATTCCAATTTGATCTTTGAGTTGGCCATGCCCTGACTTTGATCTACCCAGAGGTTGTCTCAGGACCAATAAAATTTGAAGATTCAGAAATCTTCTCCAAGTTTAAGAATCTCAAATCACAAATAAATCATTTAGCTAGTGATTCTGACCTTGGTTCCATTGTTGTGATAATCTGTTTTGTTTTTTCATCATACACATTTATCTTGGAGTTTGACCCTGAGGTTACAAACTGGTTGGCAGAGTAGTTAAAACCGCACGCTAATGTCTGACGATTTGGTTCAACAATTGTAGAAATACAGCTGCTTGTTGATGCATGCCAGTGTTTKACTCTACCATCAGCATCTAGAGATATTTAAAGATCATCAACATCTCTTTGGACCAAAATATATTATTCAACAGAAGAYTGCTAGGGATAATTATTTGGCAAGATCATTAGGGGAATGGGATAAGCAGAGATTGACTAGCATCTCATGATCATCCATATTGAGTAATGGTACTCCTAGTGATTTTACATGATGCCCTCGTTACAAACCAGCCCTCATGCCTTAGCTAATTGAAACTCTTCCCCCCCTCTCCTCCCAAGGGAAATTGCACTGGGTGAATGTTAGATTCCCAGTCCTGTGCTGGGGGTCTGCAAATGGGGATTTCAATAATTGACCAGTGAAAAGTGGCTCATCTCCAATGTTTGATCCAAAAGAAAAAAGAAAAAAAGACCTACAGTATAGTAGCATAGTCAATAACGATGCAGCATTTATCAGTGGTCGTACGTTTGGGCATCACACTGTAACAAACTAGTGGACTAATACAAGCATTCACATATACATTAATTTTGTCTCTGCCATTATCCATTCAGCATTGCAAGATTGTCTTATCTGTGACTTAAATGCCAACAATTTAAGGATGAGAAAAAAGTATGAAACAGTCACAGTTTTGAGTATTGCGCATGAAAGATTAATAATTGATCGGATTTTTCATGGTAACTAAAGCAACCATGTAACTACGGTAGTAGATGATCATAAATGAAACTGTCAAAGCGGGATTAATCGTTATTAAATATTTATACGTCATTATGTTTAGTTACTAATGACCTATAAGCCACATAAGAAAACAGATCATTTCTACCTATTATTTTACTGTTTTAGTTGGACAATATGTGAGATATACGTTTGACAAGCTAAAGAATAAAATCACGGTATAGCCACTTCACTTACAAGTTGCAAGAAGAATATGACTGAAGTCTTCTCCTTGTGCGACAGCCTTCCATCGAATACAAGTAACAGGAAGATGGCTGTTCAACGTTTCTTGATCCGATAARCTGTAAATACATCGTCCACTTTCTGAGGAATATATCTGTAGCGATACAAGAATGTTTACATTAATATGAGGCAAAATAATCCCCATGAAATATTCATTAACTAACGTTATGTGAGAGTGGTTTTGTATACCAGTTGGCTTGTCTCGTGAAATATTCAATAAAAGCGTTTTCTTTTTTTTAATGCTCCTTGGTTATTTGACATCCATGCCTATGGGTAAATAAAGTCATTAAGAAGCCCCAAAAATCCTTACTTTAATAACGCCACTAGCAAGTCCTGCTGCAAGAAGGCTACCATCCAAACTAAAACGACAGCACATTACTTCGGAGTTCGTCTCTCTAGAAAAATATAACAACCAACCATTGAGACCTAAAAGCGTCTATATTCCCTCACAATTTGCTCTATTAACTTAATTGTACATTTTAATGGGACTTACATAATGTTCATGATCTTCAAACTCCCTTCACAAGAAGGCGCCATTATTTCTGGCAAGGTTTCTTGCTCCAAGGCCAAAGGTTCGCGAGGAGTTGAAGCAGTTGACATTGGACCTTGGACGAGATGCATTGTGATTGTTTAATAACTCAGCTGCTTACCGATGAGATATAAAAACCTCTCTAACTGGACGCCACAAAGCAAACAATAAAGCAAAATACACAATTCTATATATTACTTTTAGGAGCTCAAATTTTGAAGATTGCTGTTRATATGCGCAAGCGCAGTTTCAATATTGGCGTCCAAGGGCTGCCTAGCAACCACTGAAAATTCTTTTTAGCGGACGAACAAAAAAAGTAAAAAAAAACTATGAATGTTTTCTTAAAGRAATAAAAGAATTCTTAACGAATTTAGTACTTCTAGGATTTGCTTGTTTTCTAGGGGTCCTAGGGGATAATGGCAATAGAACCGCAGGCTATAGACTGGTAGGGAGTAAAGTTCCCGCCAGTGCGGTTGGATATTCAACACCCCTTCAAGCCGTTCTAATCACTTTTAATYAAGATTTTTTGGTTTCCACAAAAAGCCCCCGCAAATACTAAACAACAAATACTTCAAATGATCTCCGGAAAGGAGATGTTTCAGTGATAAACAAATTGAAGTACAAATATAAATTAGGTACCACTGCCGGAAAATTAACGAAATCCCATTTTTCCGGCGATAGAAAGCTTRTGTAATTTTTATTCGTACTTCAACCACTGAATCAACTCCTTTCCGGAGATCATTTGGAGCWTTTGTTGTGTAGTATTTTGGGAGCTTTTTGTGGAAACAAAAACATCTCAATTAAACAGACTTATCATTTGGTGTTCCGTACACGACACCCACATAACAGCGTAAAAGCTATGGTGATAGTATGAGCTCGGCTAGCGGTAATGTCGGTAATGAAGTCCATTGAAATATTGCTCAATAGGCACAATATCAAACTCGGAGATTATAAATGAGTTTCACGCATAAAAGGGAGCTAAAAATAAAAGGGCTTCCCTCAATCAAACGTGCTGGGGAAAAAAACTAGCGTCATTTATAGGGCCTGCCCTATAGAAAATAGGCTCTTTGACGTTTCCTGAAAATTTCTCTATCTTTTTTCTCTATCTATTGAAACTTTTATTATTCATAAAATCTGCGCAAAGTATTKTACGCAAAACTTTATAAACTTCCATATATAAATATTTATTCAGTGATTGTCACCATACTATACTATGTTTATTTATATTCTATTTTTTACGGTAATTCTTATTAGAAGCTTAAAATAAAGAGTGTGCGGATGTGTTTATAGTAGGATAAATTTTAAAAGTGACTTGAGACTATTAAGATAGGATTAACTTTCTTCTGAGATAAAAATGTATACTAGTCAATCGAGACGAAATTCAGTAGGTCAGATTGAGACGAGATTAGATGTCTACAGTACTAATAGGATTGTTCTTCTTTTGATCTTTCGAATGTGGGCGGCTTTTTCTGTCTTGTTTTTCCTAAAAAAACGTCAGGAAATAAATAAAAAATAAATGAGAATTCAATTGAAATTTCATGTGAGACAGTGAAAAAAAAAATGGAATGAAGTGAAATAAAAGGAATAGGAAAGAACACAAGGGAAGGTAACGTAAAAGGAAAGAAAATTAAATTAGAAAGGAAAGAGAAGAGAAGAGAAGAGAGGAGAGGAGAGCAAAGGATGCCATTTGGACCATCGAAAGAAAAGATTTAAAAACACTTACATCGTTCGCTATCTTTTTCATTTCTTCCTTGAGTCTCATAAGAAGAAATTCACCYCTTGGAATGTCTCCTGACGAAGATTGCTGATTGCACATCAAAACATCATCATTTGGTGTCTTGTACTAAAAAATAACATCACAAATTACTTCAAGTTTCTTATATTACAAAACAACTTCATTTGACTGTTTTATTTTGATAATCTTAGGCAAGAGAATATTATATTCTCTTGTCTTAGGGTATACGTAAGTGCACATCGCGCAACGGCACAGTACGCTAGTCCAGATCTGGAACCACTTTTATAGATATAAACAAGAGAAAACGAAAATTTTTCTCTTGATATAAATTAAACAGTTTGAGAGAAAAGTGGGTTCAGTWACGTCCTGTACTACACTGTAGTACGCAGTGCAACATGTCGAGTACCAAGCCTCCGTCATTATCACGGCATGCGCACACCACAGCACGTCCACCCCTAGAATTATTGCAGCCATTTGAAATGCTATTCCATCAAAATGTCTATGTAAATGTATTAGAGCAGATTATGACTGAGGAAAACAAATTTTTTGACTATATATATATACTGATGTTTTGGATATCATAGTCCTTCGGAGGAGGAGACAGCTGGCTTTRAGGATTATTTTTCATTTTTTCTTGAGTGATGCTCCAGACGCAGTGCTAGTGCTGAAGCGCAGTACGGCAGCGCAAAGCATTTACGAAGTAGAAAGTAAACTCGCATACCTTTTTGACTACGCTTGATGGTCGATCACAGTAAATCCTTAACAACGAGCCCCAGGTTGATACGTGTGGATGTAATTTCTGTAATTAAGTAAATTATGGGATACATTACCGCAAAATAAACTRTTAGGGGAAACGATTATCAAAGGAAGACGTGTGCGCGTGCTACATTTTCTTGCAGGAAATTTCTTTTAATAGTAGCAGCGGACGAGACAACATTGATTTCATAGTTTCGCGCTAAAAATTTCGGTCGCAAGTTGAAAATATACTGGTAACAGCCTTCTTTTTTCATCCTGAGTTGATCAATTCTCGCTTTAAAAACACAAGTACCGACTCGTTCATTACCGCTGAATAGAGGCTTTGCACCATCATGTGCCGGCGTTCATAATACAGCTTGGACTGCCTGTGGTTAGATGGCAGAACAACTAAATGCTCTCAGGAATTATATTCTTTCTTATGTAAAACGATTGTATTGTTCCTGTCATCTAACATGGCTACCGTCACGTGATGCATGGTGCAAAGCCTCTATGGGCGCAGGCGCATCATTTCGTCAAGCATGCGCAGTAAGAATAACATCGAGAGTGGCGTCGGGAGTATATATTTCTGATCGTTAAACTCATGATTTCACTGAGGGGAAGTTTGGAGCTCATGACGTCATTAAGAAGACAATAGTGCCCAAACTTTTAACGAGAAGAGAATGTTCTAGCTGTATTAGCTGTTGTACCTTGAGTAGAGCTTGGGAGGCTAATTGTTTGCCCGTTTTCTTATTTTTACAAAGACCCTTCGAAATAAGAAACATGATAAATGTTATTAATACTTATTCAGGGCCGTAACTAGGGGGGGACAGGGTGCACGTGCACCCCCCCCCCCCCCCCAATAAAAGCTTAAGGTCCGCTCATCCATCTCCTTTTTTTTTTTTTTGGTTCTGCTTTATTAAAAGAAACGGTCAATGGTCATCAATATCACAGGCTTCAAGTCGGCTAGAGTGATGAACAAAGACAATGGACGGTGCACGAAAWATTGCTTAAAATGACAAGGTTACTCTCTGCAAGCCCAGTTATGAAAATGTAATAATCTATGCACAACCGCTTCTCAACTCCACTGTGAGAAAAATTAAGGGRGGTGTAAAAAGAAGGAAGCCTTCCAGGGAAATAAAAGCATGATAAATAAAAGGCGTTTATACCAAAACTAAGCCAATACGCACCGTGTTTGTTGTCATTGGAGAGGCCTGTACGGAGTAGGTCAAAAATATTCCAACTTATTGTACTAATCGAATCAAAAATTCGATCCTACCTCAGCTGTGTGTTTCCCACATGATATCTTGTATGTGTGATTTTGGTTTTCTCCAGGGATTATCTTGAAATTGATAATTGAAGAGCAAACGCCTTGGTTCCTGCGGTTAAAAGGCAAGCGCAAAATTCATACATACTGGTCTTTCGTTCCTCAGATATCAGATTCATCTCTCATACTAGTAGCACTTCAGCTAAATTCCAGTTTGACTTTGATCGCCCGGCAAGATAAACTTAACTCACAGACATTCGCTAGGCTTGTATCCTTGGGTGGCTATGGCCCACCCTTGCATTTTGGGGAGGGGAGAGASGGATGATTTGTCGAGGTTAGTAGGGAGTGAGCCATGGGAAATTCCGAATACGGAGGTCTTGCCACATACGGCCCCAGCAATAATGWAACCAAGACTATAGCGATGAAAGGCGAGGACAAGTGTACACATGGAAAACTTTTGTTCTATCATTAGAACATGTATCATCAAATTTTCACCTTTTGAGGCATTCTTGAAGCAGCTGAGATGGACTTGGTAGACCTGACTTAATGGAAACTTCGTACACATTAGGATGGTCGATTTTGAGATTGTCGAAATACTGAGAAAGAAAAAAGATGGTTAAAAAATTGAAAAAAAAAATTGAAAAAAATTGAGGGAAAGTAACCATTCCTTCAGTTATAACAGCTGTTCTTCCAAGAAAAGAAAAATGGCCAAACTTTTAGTTTTCGCTTCATTTTAGCCTGGCAACTGACTTCAGACTCGGCAAATTTTCACTCGTTTTGGCTTCCGTCCATCAAAGTAACTGTCAGTAAATTAGCATTTGACGGAAGCCAAAAACTTTGTTGCGTCGGGTTCGCGGTTCTACAAACGTCAAAATCACTCCCATGTAACTATATTATTTTTTATGTTGTGTGGTCTCACCTCAAGCTCTTGGGGCGAGATTTGATAGTCTTGTATTTTCTTGAAATCTTCGGGTAAAAACACTTGTAATGTTGCTTCTGCGGCAGCTTGCTTTGCCTGTTTCTTGCTTAAAGCCTGACCAGTGCCATGCGTAATACCATCAATTTGAACTTCCGCCATAAAAGGAGCAGAGGGATTATCACACTCACTACAGACGTACACTGGTTTTTCTTTGAGCACTGCTTGAGAGTACTCGTGTAAAATGGCAATTGGGGTCTTCCCTCCTGGATTCAAGACCCATTCTTTATTCTGCCTTGCATTTACTCCTTTGACACAATAAGGCAGGCACTCCAGCAAGGGGGGTAAGCTAGATTCTTCACGTTCAGATGACTGATCTACTGTAGTCATGGCAACATTCTGCTCCTGGTCACGGGTCACCTCCTCAAATTCAAACAGCTTCTCAAGGTACGAGCTCAATTCCTCTGAGTCTATCAGCTCGACTCCCGATTTAATCTCAGTGCTCACACACGTTTGTTCGAGATTCTGTTTTGTATTTTTTGAAGAAATGTTTGTGCTCATCTTGCACTTGCTTGGTTTCAAACTTTCAGAAATTTCCTTTGTCCTTTCCTCTTCTTCAGAAGCATTAACTTTGTCATCAGTTAAATTAAATGAGTTTCTTGTTGAGTTATTAGTGATTCCAAATGTAGTTTCCTTCAAAACATTCTCCAAATCAGTACTACTTTCAAGCTCTGAGCTTGAAATTGATTTTCCACTTTCAGAAGACTTGCTAAAATAATTTTTTTGGACACTCAAAGTGTCATTGACTATATCTAGGCCATCCTTTGGATGGAACATATTTGGAATATTTTGGCTATAAATATTTTCACCCTTGTCAGAGTTTCCAGATCTGTTTGCAGCAGTATCATCAGATATGTCTGCATCAACACCACTATTGATGTTACCACTACCACCACTTTCATCACCAACAGCACTATCACATTCTTTGTGATTATACTGTAAAGCACTACATCCCGGTTCTRTAGTACCATCAACCTTGTTTCTAATGCCACAACCAACATGGGTATGTCCAAAGCCATCATTTTCTTCAAACACAGGACATTTTGATTTCGTGACATTCATGATATTGTCACTTATGGCAATGAAACATCTATCACCTGGGCCACCAACCTCATTATCACCCTTCCTGACATCTGCAGAAACACCACAATTATCTTCTATGACACTTACGCTCACACCAACTCCATCATCACCATCACCAGAAACACTAACATCATCACCTGTCTTGCTTCCACTAAAACCTATCCTATTTATATCTGTCTGCTGCTGTTGTATTGGACCGTCATCACTAGGACGAGATGTACCTGCTGTATTAATGAAGTTTAAGACTGATCCTAAACCTTGAGTTTGAGCAGGCTGTTCACTTGGATCTTTTTGGAGACTGTTTAGATTTGGTTCAGTTTCTAGTGCTTTCCTTTGGTGTAGACAGGGAATGGCAGCAATGGGGACATCATGTTTCTATGAAGTATGGAGGGATTGAGATTAGAATATCAAAAATCTTGCTTCATACAATCATACCTTGATGAACCAACTAACTCAATTTAAAAAACCAATAGGCCATAGTTTCCTTCAACCCCCCCTCCCCTCCTACCTTTGGGCTTAACATTGATAGGAGCATTAATTTATTGGTGTTCCACTCCACCTACAAGCACTCCACTTCACACTAATGTTTACRATACACCCTACACTCCATACGATAGCTAGAAACTTACTCTAACACTCCCTTTGCCAAGGTAATAAGGACGCGACCAAGTGCACACCCTCGTAGGTCGATGAAGATAAATGATGCCACCACTACGATGATTTAGAGCTAACCATCCGTCAGGTAATRCTAGGTTTGGAAGCTTACCCTTTACTATGAAAACAATACACCAGATGTTAAATAACTTAGCATAATTACATACACTGAATAGAAATAAAGATGGAGTCTTTGAAACCAAAATTGCAGCTGCTTTGATTCAAAATAAGCTGATACTGCATAGCAGCAAAATGCAAGTTTTAGTTTCGCTTTGCTCTGAATATCCTGTAGTTCTAAGAGAATTCGAAGGAACAAAAAATTGAAACATAGTTTGTTGTCGTTTGCTGCTGTCGTTGTTTTGAATTGGGAGTGAAGAAAACTTACGTTTTATGATCTTTCTGTCTTGAAAAAAAGTTGTCTCCCCATTTGAATTCTCTTCCACGTCTCCACTGCTACTTCCCTTAGTGCTTGATAGACTATCATAATTTCGTGATGGCTCCAAGCTATCTATTTCATCAAGTAATCTATCTCTCAACAATGTCTCTTCATTCTCAAACTCTTCCCCCTTCTTACGCTTTTCAATTTGTATATCAGTAATTTCTGTGTTCGCTAGAGTCCTTTTTTTGAATTTTCTGGTATTTATTTCTTGTTGAGCAGTAGATTTTTGACCACGTTGCATCTTCCTTCTTTCATTGTCGTTGGTAACATTGATGGAATACTCTTTGGATGTCTGGTCCTGTTTTGAAGCCATTACAATGAATCTTCGTCGTTTCTTGACGCAATATTATCGGTAATATCAACTATCTTTTGACTCTCCTGCTTCATTTTCTCCTTTTATATTCTCCTGATCGTTACATTTGTATTCGAGTGTCGTAGGTGGAAGTGGTTTGATGGCATCAAAATTCACTAGCGCGAGCATAAAAAAGTAATCAATATTCCATTTAAAACTACAAGTTTCCTAGTCACTACAGATAAAAAGATAAGAATAACAATAAAGGAAGTAAAAATTAGCAGAAAATTAAGATATCAGAGCATAAATATTAAGTAAAGGTTCGGAATTGAAGCTACTTTTGTAGCTGGCGCTTCGTTCCGCCATCAAATTAAACCACTAAGTCTTGTGGGCTACCTGTGGACCCAGGAAGCCCGAGCAAGATTTTAAAATAAAATTCCATTTTTTTTTTTTTTTTTCATTCAGAAAAAAAGATTAAATCCTTTATGAATATCTGTAATATTTTACTTAATAGTTGGCACGCTGTGTTCCGGAGTCAAATCCATTTTTAAACAATTATTTTTAGAAAGGGTTTTCTGTTAGGGGAAGGGGGGGTCGGGCTAACGATTTGCAATCAAAAAAAAGTTGCATCTCTGTCCATAAAACTATTATTTGTTTACATTTTGAAAAACGGTACTTTTTCTAAGTCTATGGAATAATAGAGCTATTGTCCCCGTCGAGGACCCGTCGAGGACCCGTCGAGGGGTCCCCTCAGCAAAAATTAGCAATACTGCTGGGCTACCTGTGTTTTTGCTCCAAAACATGCACACAAGATGGCGAACATGCAGACAAGAGAAGAGAGCAAAGAGCCATCGCTTCTTGTTCTGGCAGACGAACTTATCGATATAATCCTTTCATACAGGTTTTTAGATTACAGAGATTTGTGTCGTTTTGCTCAAGTTTGCATTAGATTTAACCATCTTGCCTGTTGTTCGGAGATTTGGAAGAAGAAAGCTTTGACTCGGTAAGTTGAGCTCTCTCTCAATTCTCGTCTAATGATGAACGTCGAAAATTCACCTTGAATTATCACTGATACTCAGATCATTTAAGAGCTAGTAAATATCAGACAATTTCGTGGTTTCATAATTTGTTATTGAAACGATAGTCTCTTATATAAACATGTATTGTCAAAGACTTTTTCAATCACAGACTTTGTTCAGCTGTTTTGTACTGTCTGATCTGTCTTCGTGTTTCTTATCGTATTTTTTGTATCATTGTCTTAATCCTTATTTTGTTATTTATTGATTGATTACTATTTGAATGGAAGGACTAACTACAACTCAACTTCAAGTTATTAATTTTTTTTATGACTGCATGTGTGAACTTAGTGAAGTGTTATGTAACCCCTTGTGCATGCTCTAATCGCCCTATTTCACTATGACGTCACACCAAAACAATCTATTGTTTAAACGCAAAGGATCATGGTCGTGGGAGGGGGTCAAATCAACGCAAATTCACCGAAAATTGTTCTAAAACCCTTATCAATCCACGAAGAGAAGTAGAATAGCCAGCAAACGCTCAGAATATTTTTTAGTACATATTAACACATATTCTATCTGAAAACCAGGCCATTTTAAATTGAACTGTTTCGCTAGGAGAAAATTTTGTTGAATTTTCTATTGGATTCAGCGATTGTATCCCCCACGTAAACAAGCAGTGACGTCATAGTGAAATAGGGCAATTCCTAATAGATCTGGAGGTCAAAACAAAATAATTTCCTTCATTGAAGATTGCAATCTTCTTCCTTAGATTTAGTGCAAAGGGTTTAGTGCAATAGGTATGGAGCAGTTAAGTTATTGTTATGCCACACTCCATCAATCATGGAGATTGCTGGTCAATCAGTGCATAATTAATCAAGTGGATTAACAATGATTGATTATGATCTGYGAAGATTATTAGACCTGACAATACCATAGTCACAGACCAGTATACCTGTACCATGAGATTTTCACTATCACAGAAATCATGCTCTCTTCTTAAAAAGACCTCAAACACAGCTGTTTGAGGCCTTTTTAAGAATTCTGATTTGAAGCATCTGTTAATGGGTTGTTAAGACATAATGGAGCCTTAGACTTTAGGCTTGTGAATTGGATTAATGCATTTGATTTTCTCACCATGTTACAGACCTTTTTAGCTAGCTTAGTGGTAATGTTTTCCCATCTCAGACAACATGTCATTCTCTTGACAATAAGATTCTTTGTTTAAGCTTTATCCATATTCATATGTCTTCTCATGCACGGCCATTAAACAAAGAAATAATACTCTAGGGAATAATACATTGTCTGAAATAGGAAAACATTATGCAAAGCGAGAGGCCTGGGTCTATTGAAGATTTCTCCTTCTCTCAAGAGTTTGTTTATTGAAAAAACATGACTTAAAAGCATTCTCTTCTCTCAGATGGAAGAGGTGGAGAAGACCAACAGACAGTCACTGGAAAGAAGTCTTCAAAAAGCGTTTCAAAACTGAGACAAAAATTAAAGAAGTCCTTGAAAAACTAGGCAGGGAATTTGGACCCAGTTCAGATGTGTCAGAAAGACAGTACGAAGAGCTGGTCCATCTGGAAAATGACRATAATTATGCAGGTTTCCTGGCTTGCTCTCTAGAGGAGTATGTCTTTGGAGATCCAAGGTGAAGTTTTTAAAAAAATACATCCTGCAATTTTTGTAAAAAAGATACTTTTAGTAATGATGATGGACACGAGTGAAAAACATCTGCGCATGCATCTTTTTCAGGAGCCATTTTTTATTTCCAACATTTCAAGGCCTCTATTTTCAGGGTCATTTTCATCTCCTACTTTGATAATATCATTATTTCAGGTTGACAAATCTGACGCACAAGCATTATGCAGAAAAACTCTACATCTATCTCCGGAGGAATTTCCTGAAGAAAGAATGGCAGAACCTCATGAGTAAACCGATTGAGGAACAGCATCTAGAAGATGGTAAAATTAATATATAATACACTTTCTTTTCTTCTTGCTAATTTCAAGGTGCTATTTCCATTTTTGATGTTCATTTTGACACAACTTATTGTTTGGGGGGAGGGGGTGTAGGGTCATGTGATCTCTGAGTGCAAGTCCCCAATTACTACAGTTTTTGATATTCTGTGAACTCAGCCAGCTGCATGCTGAAAGTTGGCTTCTTGCTATCATCAATCRAAAAAATAATCAATTATGCAACAAGCCGCTGAAATGTATGCGTTTGCAGAATATTGAAAAATGTAGTAAATCGGACCTCTCTTCAAAGGTGCATTGATAATAGCAAAATGGATGGAGCACAAAATAGATGACAGCATGACTGATTACATGAAGTCCAGTTTAGATGGTTTGGCAGAGAGAGTGAGAAGGATTGTTGGAGAGGAAGCAGAGCCCTTGGATTTCAATCAACAGRAACATCCTTATTACATCACAGACCCTAACAGGTGTTCAGAGATCATCAATGGGATTAGGAAGATCATCTTTGAGGAGGATAACTTTTGTGGTAATATGCAGGACTATTATAACGTGAAAAACTCTTTCATTACTGAGGTGAGATTTATTCATTTGCCTGATAAATTATAACAGTCAGTCAATACTCCAGTTTGGAGTTCTCTGTTGCTGAGGGTTAGCCTTGCCATTGAGCAGAATATTCATGTGTTCCAGTGAAGTGTTTTTTATTGTTGAGGTTGTGCATTTTTTACTTCCTGTTGGTATTTGTGAATATTTAGACACTGATTCAAGGCTAAGCCCAAGTAAATGAGTCTGTAATCAAGCAAAACAGTGGTAATTTGGAACTCAAAAAAGTTCTATTTGGAAACAATAATTTATTTGGGGTAGTGTRGTAATAAAGGGCTCAATTTCTGAACTTGGCTTCACTTGTGATTATGCTAGAATTTATTAGGTCTCTCCCTCCTATTAATTTGATTTTTGAGTAGCAAATCCAAATGGGTGAGAGACCATGCAGTGCGCTACCAGTACACTACGCAGTAGAGCTTGATTCCCTGAYGTATCATAGTGTATAAAATATAATGATTAACTTACCATGATCTTTCTACAGGTTCTGAAAACCAAGCAAGGCATACCAATAAGTTTGGCGGTGGTGTTCATAGCTGTTGCCAGAAGGCTGAGGGTGAAGGTTGAACCAGTAAGTAGAATGAAGCTTTTGCCGTGGAGGAAGGTCTGAGTGGGGTGTAGAGAATCATTCAGTAACAAATTAAGAAACAAGTTAACCTAGAGTCAAAGTCTTTGGACAACAATTGTCAGGGGTTAGGGTTAGGGTTACTAGTTAAAAAGCAAGATTTGTAAGCTGTGTAAAAGAGAAGAAAATATGTGAATGTTTTGGGGCGTGTGGTGAGAGAGTAAAACCACAAGTATGTAGCACTATTTTTTATTTTTCGTATTTTGAGGTAACCATCAATGTTTCTAAATCTGTTTCTCAGGTCAATGCACCACGTCATTTCCTAATTCGTTGGTGTTCCAACCCTGACTCTAGGTAATGAGAATAACATTTATTGCCCCTGTTCTTTGGGTTACCTGTGGCCACAGGAAGCCAGCAAAACTGGGATTCAAGCCAGGATATGTGAAAACAAGATTTCAAATCATACACCTCAATAAGACTAATTAAAAATAGTGTACAGATAGTGTAGCTTTTAATGATTGTTGACATTAGCATTTGGGAAACTGGAACCTGGAGAAATGCTCTTGAATCAAGGAGGATACCTATTTCCTATACTCTGCATATAAGTGATGCMGAGTCCAGGAATAGCTGTTATTGCAGTTGAGCCTGCAATAAGATATTCTTTTGCTTTAATAATCATTCAACTGGGGCTATCGTGTYGATACAATGCTTCTTGTCTAGTTTGCATCTCATTTGCATGCATCCATAATATCTGAGACCCAAGAGGTGAGATACAAAGTGCTCTACCAATACACCACCCGTGATTCCCATGATATGCAGATCATTCAACAAAATTCTTTATTTTTGTTTGTTCTCAGAACAAACCGCTACACATACATTGATTGTTTCGATGGAGGGAAAATCTACAGTGAAGAGCAGGGTATGCAACAATTTTTGTCAGGATTGTTGTACCCGTTTGAGACATCAGAAGATGCACTAGCCTTAGCATCACCAAAAGATGTAGGTATCCACACACTGCAATACACTAGAGTGTTTTTTGTATGAGCAGCTGTGGTGTAGCCATCCAATTTGAAGAAACGTCTGTTTTTTCCYCCAGATATTTATCAGAATGGCTACAAACATATTAAACATATATCAAAGTGCAAGCAGAGTAGACAGTGGGTAAGGCAATGAAATGTTCTTGTCATTCTCAGGGCAGGGGGGGTACTCCCCTATATTCGCTATACGGGTACATGCTGCCAAACAGGGTAGGGTTTTCTCTGATTCTACTCTGGAACAGGKTTTATAAAATTGCGCTCACTCTGGACAGGGAATATGAAATCACACTCTCCTTTCCAGAACAGGGTATCTATTTTCGCAATACAGGAAGAGGGTATGGTTTTCAGAGAAAACAACCCCTCTCTCTCCCTTGCTCCCTTACTCAATTTTACTTCAACTATTTAAAATGGCAAATCAAATGCACATCATATATTTGTGAAACAATTACAAGTCCTGTAGGACTTAAAAGTATTTATTTATCAACTATTTATTTGTAAAATAACTTAGAATTTACTCRGGCATGAACAAAACAAAGATGAGTAGAGTTATTTGCTATTATTCCCTTTGTTCTGCTCCAGTAATATCCAAGAATATTTTGACAGTACAAAATAGCTGCAATTAGACAATGAYACATCTTTGGTTTTATTTCACAAATATATGGCATGCATGGTTGTAGTCTCTGTCAGTCATTCTAGAACTAAACATTTTATATTTTGATTAATGTTTTAAGGTTACAATATCTTTGCGACGCCTTGAAATTACTTATCCTCATCAAGCCTGATGACAGACGGAATGCTGTCATGCTGGCACGCATCCATTTACACCTGGGAATCAATTTAGATCAGGTATATTTCACTGTAATTTTTCCCATCCATCAATACCAATACTTGTGTTGATCTAAACTAAGGCATAGCTAACTCACATACATAGATCAAATGATAATCTAGTGCGTTAGGATGGAGGAAAATAGACAAACCTGGAGAGTTACCATTAAATCATTAGAGAGACCTAACAAGATCAACTCAAATCCCTTGCAGAGTACAGGAATYAAACCTGAGACCCCAGAGGTGAGAGTTAAGTGTACTACTAGCACTAGGACACCTTTGATTCCCTCAGGCTACAGTATTCAAATCTCTGGAATTATAACTTGCTTATCAAAAATTTCATTTCCAGTGCATTGAAATCCTTGAAGGACAGAGTTTGCTTGACAGAGCAGCAATTAGGAGTTTGGAAAGTGCTCGAGAACAAATAGAACGTCAGGAAAGGCTTCGCAATCAACCAGTTGTCCCGGTAAGGAATTTTATATTGTGATGTAATAGTTTAGCTTATTTATTCTGAATAAATGTATGAAAATAAAATAAATCAATCAGTCAATCACTTTTCCATAGTTGGATACAAATTGTCGGTTTAACCAACTTTTATCCCTTTTTCCCACAGAAATTGAGATCTGATCCCAAAAATAAAGAAGTTGCTTTCAAAGTTGGAATGGTCATGCGACACAGAAGGTATCTAACATTAATCAAGGACTGGAAATTGTTTATTTGCCATTTCATTCTTGATTATGCATGAATTTTTATACCAGTCAAACTAAAGATCAATATTATTTGAGTGTAACCAGAGCCTGAAATTTTTCTGGGTATGAGAGTGAGGGATGGACTAGACTGACCAACCAACCAGCTGACTGAGGTACTTAAGGATGGATGAATGGACGGACAGATGGACTGACTGACTGACTGAC